CAAAAGGGCTCAGAAAATTGAGGAAGAGTGGGGGACATCCATGCCATCCTATTTTCTCTGAAGATGCAGCATTTAAATTGCTGGGTCTACAGGGAAATGCTATAGAAACCAGAACTGCTACATTTAATGTAACTTTTAATCAAAAACAATGCACCAAGGCTGTCTCAGATCTTGACAGTGTGCATAGTTTTAGCAACACTAAACTGCTTCTTTAAGTTACAGTTGTTTTAGTGCTTAGAATACCCATTTAAATATAGCTGTCCCCAAGGAGCATGAGTAACCCAGGAGATGCACTGAAAAAGTTGCTTACAAGTATGTACTACAAAATAATACACACATAGGTTATAAGTTCATACAAAATTGAAAAATGATAACAGATTTGGTAAGGGATTGAAGGAAATAATGCATATGTTACAATCAGAGGAGCATTGTGGAACCAGGAAAAAAATATATAAATACAGAACAGGTGTACAATACATATAAGTAAAGAAACTTTTAAAATTAAGGTCATACCACATTTTCCCTGCAACTATAGCAACGTTATGTGTGCGTGCTGCATAATGATATCTTATTTATAAATTACTTTTAAATATGATACATTTAAGGGAACTTACCTTTTGTTTCAACTGCAACCTTAGACTCCTCTTCATCATGGTCAGCTTTTTCCTCATATTGGACACGGGATTTTAACTTAAATCTGTTCCCACTTTTTTTGAGCCAATCTTTCATCTTGTCAAGGAATTCCTTACCAAATAGGAACGAATCTTTCATATTTGGATACTCTGATGGCTTAGCTTCCATTTCACTAAGCCCCAATGCTTCCAGAACATTTTTCTGCCTGGCAATAGTAATGGATGCAAATGTTTGTCCTATAAGCACCATTGACTTGCGACACAAAAACACTGTGCTCTTGAGAGCACCCATCAGCTGACGTTGGTCAGTGAGGATGGAATGCTTCAACTCAAAAGTGTTACAGGCCATAAGCAGTGGAGTGACGCTTCTGAGTAGTCGTTGCTGGACTGTCATCATTTCCTTGTCAAATGGCTTTATGATCTCAAAGAAATCATTTTTATTCTTTACAGCTTGCTTCTTCATCAACAAATCCAACAAATCATTATCAATTCTGAGATTCTTCAGTGCTGGATGATTTAGGAGCTTCACAACAGAAAAACAGGATTCTAGGTGATGGGCTGTCATAGGACATTTGAAGCATTCTACAATCATCTTACAGGCTTCTGTTTTAACCTTGAACAATGCTTTATGCTGCCTCACTAGGTCAACATCGCTGACCAAGGAATTGAACTTCGACCATCGTATAAGTTGTAGGCTGTATTTAGCTGATGGACTTTGGTCATCTTTGCCTTCAGCTGCTGCCTTCTCCGCAGCCTCACTTTCTGGCTGCTTGCTTGAGGATTCACCAATTTTCTCAAATTGCCCTGCTTTTCCACTCTGTACTGGGCGTCCTACCTGTACCCTAGCTCCTCCACCCCTTTGTATTTTTCCTCCAAGTACTTGCTTTATGGGCATTTTTCCCCTTACTCCTGCTGACCGGTACTCACTTTGAAGAGAGCTTGCCCTCTGTCCAAATCTATCTGCTTGTGGTGGTGAACGAAAATCCCTAAAGACACCTGGTCGGGCCATGCTGTACTCTGAGGAACGCAGAGCATTACGTTCAAGCTCCCAGCGCCTGTTGCTGAAGTCCAGCTCCCTGCTAACAAGAAGATCACGCTCTCGGGCCCTAAGTGGATCAAGTTCATTAATCCGACGGTTTGTAGCATGAAGTTCTTCCTGTAACAATCTCTCTTTTAGCAGAACATCCTCTGAACGCAATCGGTCTAAAAATGAATCACCAAATCTTGTTGGAGATGGTTCCCTTCCGTATTCTCTAAGTTGTAATGTTTGACGTGCAAGATCCTCTCTTCTTTTCTCTAAATCCCAGTTTCTAGTCAAAGTATCACGGGGCAGGTCACGATATCTTTCACTATCCCTGTATAAAGAATCAAAGCTTTCCATTGGAATCCTTGAGATGTTTGAGGGCCCTGGTTATAGAAGAAAAAAAAAAAAGCAACAATGATTTAACTAAGTAAACAAACATACTGGCATATTTAGACAATCATGTGGGGATCTTAGGGGAAGGAACAAATATAAAGCAATTGTACTTGCACTGCACTTTCCTCATGTGCAACAGTAAGTGGGACACAAAAGGATTTAAAATAAATCTAAAACTAAAGGACACAAGTCTCTGAAACTGTACCACAAACTCTGAAACTGCCATGTGACTGGGTGTAGTCATAAAGATGCATAATCAATATACTAATATATATATATATATATATATATATTGAATAAAATTCTTTATGAAGCACTGACCAGATCACTGGCAAATGCATTGAGTTTTTGTTTTTTTTAAATATATCCCTAATCTGGCCCTATCTTTGTACGGTCAACCATCTCAACCATCATTCTGCATATGTTGAGGTCAGCATGTCTCATAATCTAAACATTTGCTGGCGATTTCACCAGTACAGATTAAGCGCATACCTAGCTGAAGGTGACCTTAACACTTTATAAGAATAGATGGATTCAAATTTAGGAGGCAAATTACAATTTAGTAATTCAGTTGACCAGTATTAGCATCTTTTCTTGACTTTACTATTGTTTTATTTAAATTCTGAGCTATTATTTAAAGATGGACAAATAGCAAGGCTTGGCAGTAAATTACCTTCAAGCTGGAATTCCTGTATGGTTTCAGATATTGCTTGATCCAGACTAATCCGGTACCTTTTCATTTTCTCCTGCACCACAGCATCGAAAGTATCCCGTGTTATCCTTTGACTCGCCATCTTTTTAGGGCTCTCTAAATTACTGAGAAAAGAGAAGGAAAGATTAAGGAAGAGAGACAGGATTAAAGCTAAGTTACTATCTGTGACAGGGGTGATGAAAAGTTAGATCTACTGTAACTTGCATGATTTTGAGAGCAACAGGTGAGGATCTAACTTTTTAGGTTTATACATAAAAATATAGTACTACTGCTTAGATCATCATGCATGAACAAAAAAAGCCTGCAACTCAAATTTTGAAGCAAAACTATAACACAAAAAGGCATTATTTGTTTGTATTAATTTTTTTTAATGGATACTAGAAGTGCCAGAAATACAAAGCTGTATTCCTGGCACTACAGCTTCCTCTGCTTCCCTACCCCTCAGCACCCCCCCTACCCCCCCACACTCATGGGGGTAAATAAAGTGTTAAAAACTATTTATCATGCTTGCTCACTTCTCATCCAATCAAATGCTTTGTGGACAAAATGCACATGTGGCAAGCACAGTGAACCTCCAATCACATTTGTTTTCCCCATGAGAAGCATGAAAGCTGTCTGCATTGCACTGAGAGGATGTACAAGAACAGAGTTTGACTTATCAATGAGCAAGCACAATCTTGAGGCAGTCAGGGTGGCAGCCAATGGACGTATGATTAGCCCTGAAAATCTCAAACAACTCAATGAGGAGCATTGGATTGGAACGCCTCCAGGATGAAGTCACATGAGGAGGAGTACATGGTTGCACTGAAGGACACTCAACACTGGAGACAAGGCAAGCAAAAATTATTAGAGTGCACACTGAGGGGGCCCATAAACTAACTAGTTCCAGGAGAGGGACTATAAAGTTCTGGAAAATTTGTTGGTTTTTAAAAACAAGATATTTTTAGCCTTGGAGTGGTTGGTGCGGGGCTGTTCTCCATGTGAAGACCTTAGTAATCACCTTCTTGCAATCTGGTGCGCTCTAGTTAGTCGGAGTGCACGCTGAGAATGCCAGGGCCGCGACAGCAAAGGGGAAGGGAGCTTTGGGATGTGCAGTATACAGACAACTCACACACAGCCCAGAGATGTTGAGTGCAGAGGGAAGGCATTGGATCAAATCTTTGAAGTTTTTCAAATCAGCTAATTTTGTCTCAGATTTTCCATTCAGATTTCATTTGTGAACGTTCAGCTTAGCAAATAGCCTGTTAATGTCCAGGGCGCAAAGCAGGTGCCCCAATCTTTTTAAATGAAATTATTTTGTGTCAGGACAAGTAGCTTAAGTCCCTTGGAAAAGTCCAGTTTTTTTTTTTGTTTTTTAATTCCACACTCCTTCAGATTTGTATTATAAACTCTACAGTGTTTCTTTAGGGTCATGTTAAAAAAAACATGTTTTCCTAGTGAAGTATCTTACGGTCCCAGGAACTGCTCTTTCTGCAGGGACAAGGTAAAGAAGGAGCGATTTGAGCCAATTTGATTCCTCTCATTTGTTCCAATGGACTTATGTACTTCATAAACCCATAAGGATAATGCAGCACAGCTTACATCTGAAAACTCGGCAGATCTTACAATATATTCATTATTATAAATTTAAAAAAGCATTTTTTTTAAAAGGGAAAGGAATTGAGTTGCTCATGTAGATTCAAAATAAGTTATTAAAAAGATCAGATAATAGTACTTTGTGTTCTTTTTGTAATCAACACATATAAGTTAACCCCTTCAGGACGGAGTCAATAGTGCACGTTCTGATCAAAACAAAACGTAAACAAAAACTGGAATTTGCGCTATATGTCTGTTCAACCGTAATTCACAGCTGTCACATTAAGTGCACCCACACTTATATATCATTTTGTTCAAGAGAAACAGGGCTTTAATTTATCATTAACTATTCATATATGGAACATAATTTATTATGAATAAAATTTAAAAAAAATGTGAGAAAATAAGATTTTTTTTAAATTTGTATTTTCGTCTGACATTTTAGCTGTGAATGTCATAATACTGTTAGATTTTACTGCAAAAAAATGCACATATTTGTAATTAGCGATGTCTCACGAGTACAACAGTACACGTTTTACGGTGTTTTGGAAAGTTACAGGGTCAAATACAGAACGTTCCATTTTCAAATTGAAATTTGCCAGATTATTAATGTTACCTTTGAGACGGTGTGGTAGCCCAGGAATGAGAATTACCCCCATAATGGCATACCATTTGAAAAAGTAGACAACCCAAGGTATTGAAAGTAGGGTATGTTTAGTCTTTTTTTTAGTAGCCACTTAGTCACAAATACTGGCCAAAGCTAGCTTTCATATTTGTTTTTGTGTGAAAAAAACCAAAAAAACTAATATTTGGCCAGTGTTTGTGACTAAGTGGCTACTAAGAAAGAATGGACATACCCCACGTGCAATACCTTGGGTTGTCTACTTTTGCAAATGGTATGCAATCATGGGGGTAATTCTCATTCCTGGGCTACCATACGCTCTCAAAGGCAACATAACCAATCTGGCAAATTTCAATGTCAAAAAAAATGAAATGCAAGCCTTATATGTGACTCTCTAACATTCCAAAACACCATAAAACCAGTACATGGGGGGTACTGTTATTCTCGGGAGACTTCACTAAACACAAATATTAGTGTTTTAAAACAGTAACACATATTACAACAATAATATAGTCCATAAAAGTGCCGTTCGTTTGTAAAAAATGCAAAAAACGTCAGTTTTACTTAAAATATCATCGTTGTAATACAATTTACCAATTTGAAACACTAATATTTGAGTTCAGCGAAGTCTCCCGAGTAAAACAGAGTTACAGGGTCAAATATAGTGCTTGCGAATTAAATTCTCTGCACTTTCTCCCTGTGTTGTCAGGCATGTCAATCAAATTTTAATTAATCAAATCACATAATTATGTTAAAAGATTACTTAAATATACACATAGAATTTTAATATATATGCATTTATAGGAATTTAAATTCTACGTGTATACTAATGTAATCTTTTATGTAATATATATATATATATATATATATATGCGCGGTTATTTGTATTTTATATATAGATAGATATATATAGAATGTCATTCTAAGTGTATTTTGTTATATAAAAAAAATATATATATAGA